GGGGTAGTTTGCAGCTGCAGGCTAGGGCTGGGGCTGTGCCAGGCTCTTCCCAGTGTGTGAGGGCTGCGCTCAGAGCTGCGGGGCTGCACTCAGGACTATGCTTCCGGTAGGTGGGTAGCAGTGGCACTAGGAGGAGGGCTACGGGGGGGGCTGCAGTCACCCCAAAGTTTGCTGTAGCCCCTTCCCAGCACCACTGCCTGTCCTGAGCATAGCCCCCATGTGTTGGGAGCACAGCGCCAACCCATAGCTGCAGCGCCCGCCACCCTGCACTCCCCAGACAAGCCATGGCTCCATCCTGTGACCCGCCCCAGCTGGGCAGCACCTGCCACACTTCCTCCTTCACTGCAGGGGCCTTGATATGCCCTGCCACACCCTTCCCTTCCCCATCCACTACAACAGACTTACCAGCTGCATGCCTGGCTGTGCTGCAGCTGCTCTCATGCACAGGTGTTTATCTGCCAAATTACCAGCCACATCAGGGCGATTTCCAGTACAGTCAATTTTCCTTATATTGGTGCTGATCTGCTTTTGGACCAATGCATCAGTGCACTTCTACTAAATTCTTCAGAGTTTCCAACCAGATTCCTTGAATTCTTAGACTTTTGTTTTCTTGGTTAGGTTAACTAACCTTGTTGTACTGTCAAAGTACCAGAATTTTTGCAAGGGAAGGTGTTACAACATCTAGTCCCAAACTTTTCAACTAAATTAAATCTAATGGCTTGAGTAGATATGGTAAACCTAGGGGACACAGAATTTGAACAGTTCGTCTCTTTTTGTATTCTTTTATGCACGCTGTACTGAATCTGGGAAGCATTTGGAAGTGGTAATTAGTTTGGCAAGTGTGGGACTTTTCCTATTACCATTTGCCTTAGATGCATTTGTAAAGTATTTTCAGTTCTCTTTCAAACAAGTATTCATTTGAAGCTGTGATCCATAATCATCTCAAATATAGCTTTGTGATTACCATATGGGTATGTATTTCCCATCCCTATAAAAAGGGTATATAAATACAGATTATGACTTGCTCATATTTTCTAAATTTCAGTTTCTGTAGATCAGAGCATTGACTTTGATCTGGGCTCTAGACAGAAAAATCCGGACATATAGTGCCAGTTGAATGTCTTGAAATTTGTTGTAGGGAGGGAACCTGTTAACACAATTTTCCAGTAATTCACTGTAGGCCCTTAAAGTCAAAATACAGGGAGCAGACGGTACGTTTTAACTTTGCCATTTTGAATGGTCTCCAAAACCTATTTTCATGCATCAAATAGATAGAATGTTTCTTTTCTTTAAGAAACAAAATCCCCACTACTATGCTACCACTCTTGCCAGTTTACAGTTACATTAAGGTGGGATCTTCTAAAAACTGCTGCAGCAAAGTTCAGGTAATAAAGGAGGAAGTTTTTCTTTTGAACCCAAATGCTAAAAACCATATTTACCTAAGGTACATATTAAACTCTGATTTCAGACAGTTTGTAGTGGCTTTCCTTTTCCAAGCAGTTAGAAGGAATTCTGGCAATTTACACTCTTTATTAATGTTCCATCAACATCTTTTTTCTTCTCCTACAGATTATAGCACATATAGCCAAGCTGCAGCCCAGCAGGGGTAAGTAAAATTGTGATCTTGTTATTTATGTTTTTAAAAGAGCTTAAGCTATCTTCCTCTTTAAATCAGTGTGTTGTATTTCTCAACTCACACATGTGAGTTGATCCCAGTGCTTTCTTTAAATTGGATAATGTAATGTAAAATTCTGAGAACTGTAACAAAAATGCTTTAGGAATACTGAAAGTGTCTTTTTGCATAAAGTATGTATTAAGAGTGGCTGCATGTATGTAGAGTGGCTGCATTTATAAATTTCATTACATTCATTTTACAGCTACAGCGCATATGCAGCTCAACCAGCTCAAGGATATGCACAGACCACCCAGGTAAATTAAAAGAATTTTCTAACTGCTACAGAGTCCAGTGTCTTCTAGTAAATTGGGAGAGTTGAAAATGTGGCCCATGGATCAGAACCAGCCTGCAGAGCCCAGTTGTCTGGTCCCTGGTGCTGCCCCTGTGTCTGAGATGACCTTCAGGCTGCCAGAGGGACCCAGCCCATAGGGTGTGGTGCACAACCCCCATAATACTTGCAGGCCTTCCACCCCCTGGCTCATAGTCCTGGGAAGAAGAGGGGTGGTGGTGCAATGTGTACTGAATCTGGTGCGAGGAAGGAAGCAGGGGAGTCCATAGGCCTGCCAGATGAGTTTTACGCCCCTGCAATAAACTAATCAGAAACTTACAGGGCATAAAACAACCAGTGACAAATGCTTTCTAATGTCAAAATACATCTTCAAAAATTTTCCTGATGGCAGTTCAGTTTCAACCTCAAAATCATTCTCTGAACTTGTTTCTTGTTAAATGTTTCTAGCTTAAGATTGCTGTATCTGAGAGAATCAAGACAAGATTATTGGTTTATATTTGACAGTTTTTCCTGTTTGTGGATGTTTGATTTGGCAATGCAGAAGAGAGAGACCTGTTAAAGTAGGATAATTTATATTTGTAAAATGGTAGCAGTTAGTGGATAAAGTAAGAAAAAAGAACAGGCTGTAGGTGAAGGTATTGTTCCTAGAACTATTACATTTTCAGTAGACTAAGATTTCAAGTTGAGGGTATTCTTTAAAAGGCAGTTTAAAGTGTTTAAAGGAATGTGTCTGTAGACGCATTCCAAAGCAATTTTAAAGGTAAACAAAGTTTCCTTTTAAAAATACAGTTTATAAATTTACAAATCTTTTTCTGCTGGCATCACTTTCCAGGGAGGGGCATACCACACCCGATCCACCAAGGTAGTTCGGTGCCTATTTCCCATTGATTTCACGAGGTGTCAGAGAACTAAATTCCTTTCTGAATTTGGGCCTGACGCTTGTCTTCACTACATTGTTAGCTCAAAATAGAACTCAAATATTGCCCTAGCTCATCACCTATCCACACTTGCCAATTACTGCTTCATGTTAAATGGTATTTTTAGTTTTAGTTAGTTGGACCATGGCACAGGTCTAGATTTGCTTAAAACCCAGGCTAGTACAGGTTTCCTGGGCTTTATGCAGGTTCTGTATGTGTGAATTCACTCTTATGCAATGACCCTTTTATGCCAAAAATTTGTTATATGCAAGGTAAGTTCACTCTTATGTGATCTGTGTGCTGGAAGCCCGCAGTCAGCTGGTTTGTGCAGTACATTGTGGGAGTGACAGCTTAGGTGGAGGAAGACAAAATTATTTGGGGGGCTGAGCTGGGTGGTGGTGCTCAGACTGGGCTGGCTGGCCCTGTCAGTGCAGTGCCCTGGGAGCCATAAAGCTGCCTGGCAGCAGTGTCTGTGGCCACCACTCAAGGCAGCTGGTGCCTGTTCTTCTGCAGCTGCCTTGAGAGCGGTACCACACTACATCAGTACAGTTGTGGGGTCAGTACAGTCGAGGTCTTGGAACATATCCCTATTTATTACATTGTAAAGTGGGTTCCCTTGATGCGAATTTGAGTTATGTGCCATTTTCCAGGAATGCATGTATAGCATGAAGCGAGGGAAACTTGTAATATAATAGGGATACAACCATTTAGTTTTAATTCCTAAGTTGCTGGTCCTGTCATTCAGTGATAATTAATTAAATCTCTTTGTAGCTGGAGTGGTGTACTGTAGCCATTATGATTAGTTTACTTCGGTAGTGGAGTAACAAGCCCTTGAGGCTTGTTTACACCCAAAGTTTATTTGGTTTAAGATAAAGCTTGGTAGCTATTTCTGAACAGATCCATGTGACTGCTGCTTTTTTAGAATAAGCATGCCTGCATATGGAGTCACTCAGAAATAGCTGTTTCTGAATAACTTTGTATGTAGACAAGCCCTTTAGTGGTTTTGAAAATACCATTTTTGATATAGTAGAGAGTCAGTTAACCGGAAGGTTTTTTTGTTAACAAACCAATCAACCCACTGTTCAGTTTGCTTGTAGGTGAGTCCTGTGTGTGTTGTTTATTTACTAATGCTTTGAGGTTTTAAAACAGTGCCATATCATACCTTGATTTCTTGGCTCTTTTAAAATATTTGCTGTACAGTAACTAAAGTATTGCTTTTAGCACTTCTTGCTATAATATTTGATTATCTAGAAAAATTGATTAATCAGAATGATGGTGATGCTAATTATTCTGGATAGTCAATGTACTGTTGTACCAAAGTATGGACGTGGACGTATGTCTGGGGAAGTTCTGGCCTCTGTATGAAAATATACAAAACCAATTTATTAGTGTATTGAAAACCTAAATAATGTTACACTCAGTGCTGAAGCAGTTTTGAAGTGACCCAGATTTTATTTCGCAACGTTGGTATTAGAAGTATAGCTTAATCCTGCTGTAAATGCTTATTTTCCTGTATAACTTTAAACACATGAATATTCCTATTGTAATCAATGGGATTATTCATGTGAATAGTTTTATGATCTCATTAAAGTGCTTGAGAGATCAGGACCTTAAATTTCCATGTTCTGCTTTACATAAAGAGTGGTTATAAGGAGGATGGAGATGGACTGTTCTCTGTAGCCACAGAAGACGGGAGAAAGAGCAGGTGGTCTTAAACAGCAGCACAGGAAACTTAGGTTAGATATTAAGAAGAGCTTTCTTATTCTGAGAGTGGCTAAGCATTGGAACAGGTTACTCCAGGGGTTCTCAGACTTTGCGATACCATGACCCTAGGTGCTAGATGATGGGGAATGGGGAGCTCGCACTTGGCAGCCACCACCCCCGTTCTGGCACTCTGTGCTGCTGCCATGTGTACCCCTGGGAAGTTGTTTGCAACTCCCCAGGGGGTTGCAGCTCACAGTTTGAGAATCCCTAGGTTACTCCAAGAGGCTGTGGAATATTCATGCTTGGAAGTTTGTTTCTAAGAGCAGGTCAAACAGACACCCAACAGGGATAGGTTCATGCCCGACAAAAGTATTTTAAGCAGGGGGTTGCAGTAGGTGACCTCCTGAAAGTAGACTTTCCCACTCTACTTTTTCTATGATTCTATGTGAATTTGCTAAATACAAATGAATCTGCTAGTCATGGCATTTAAAGACAGTATTTATAAATTAATTATACATGTTAATCTAAAACTGCTGGGACTTTGCAAAGCCTCAACTTGACTTAAAAATTAAAAAATAAAAATGTTGGGTGACTTAAGGCACTTCATACTGCTCCATGTTTTAGTTGGTCTTGTTTTAAGTTTTGTCTGTATACATCTCAGTAATAAAACGGTGATCTCAGCACTTGATTAAATTCATGTAATTTTTGGAGCAGACCTATGGGCAACAGAGTTATGGAACTTATGGACAACCTACTGATGTCAGCTACACACAGGCTCAGACAACTGCAACATATGGGCAGACTGCGTATGCAACTTCTTATGGGCAGCCTCCAACTGGTAAGAGCTATGCTACTGTTGCAAAACTTTTATTTTACTGGGGAAATCTTAAATGACTTGCCTTATCTGTATTGGAACTTTCTGGCCCACGCAGTATTGAATAGATTTGGGCAACTGTGATGTGGATACGGTGTTCTTTTGATAACCTTTTTATTTATGGAGCTGTTGTTTAAAATTATTCCAAGATGTGGGTGGGATGAATACCAGGAGTAAATGTACCCATTTATTTTGTCATGGAATATTTGGATGCTGGTTCATGCTGTGGAACTAGGTATAACTACAGAATGTTCTTTATGGAACGGGGGAAAAAGAAGTTGATACTGAAAATGTGTACTCTGGGCATCTTTTGCCCTCATATGGAGAACCTTCCTAAACTCTTCAGTTACTTGAAATTCAAATTAGTTAAAGTGACTGTTTTCCTGTTCTGATAGTATACCCTCTACTTTTTGTCTTGTGCTTTCCACAGTAGAAGGGACCAGTACAGGTTTGACTATCCTGCTCAATCTTGCATGGAAAATGTTGTTTCATTCCGTCTAACCTTCTGATGTTAACCCTTTAGGTGTTTTCATTTGTTTTAGCCTAAAAGCTTATAACATTACAATAAATGTACAGTGCTATTCAAAATTTGCTAGTGTTCCTTGTCTGTATAATGAGTATCTTTCATAAACGCCTCTGAGTGACATGCTTTACGGATAAAGCTGTACCATGATGCTTCGGGTGAATATGTCTTGTATTTACCATTTCCTAAAGGGTAAACAGCATGATTAGACACGTTCAGATGTATCGACCACCACCTTTGCATGTTCCATGTTATGTCTCTGGCTTTCTGACTCAGATGCATACCTCACATCTTCATAAATGCTCTGTAAATGATTTTGACTTGTGCTCTTTAATTGGAGCTCATTCATAAAAATGTCTCGATGTTTTGAGAAAAATAACTTCCCTGGAGAAACTGGATGCATCATTAAACTGTATTCTGCTATATTTGGTTTGAACCAGGCAAGAGTCCATGAACATAATTTGGTTCTACTTTAGCCAAGTCACATTCTGTCTGGGGTTTTACATGGCTCATCTTTTCTTCATTAAAAATAAACATAATTGAAGTGGAAGGTCCTTAAGGGTTCCTTAGTAATATTGGTACAAGAACAGACAAAGCATACCTGTGGTAATATCTGGCCATAGAGTCTACTGGTGGATTTTCACAAAGAAAAGTGTGGAGAAAAAAATTACCCCATAATGCCCGTATTTGAGTAATTACCTAATGGTTCTGTCTTTGCATGTGGAGGAGGAATCTTATTGACAGCAATCTTATTTTCTGAAGAATGGGAACCAGTAGCCTTTGACTGTAGTAATTGCAGTTTCTCTAGGAGTATTTAATTGTTCTGTCCTCTAAAGTAGCTTAAGATTAGAGATTAATAGGGACAGTAATCATGAAACAGAAGATCATGTAGCAGGTCAAAGTATGATTTTTACCTTGATCTGTATGGTACGCATTCTTGTCCTTATCCATAGCAGAGCTGCTTATATGCTGCGCCAAATTCCTTTTCCATATGTTTTTTTCCAAACTACACCATCCTTCCTTAGGAGTGTGTGCTATGCAGGTGTAGGCTCCTTTCTTGCTCTACCACTTTACTTCAAAGCCCATCAACCTTTTACTCTTGGCTTTGTTTACCAGTGAGGTTCTGTCTAGCTTTTCATATTAAAACTTGCAGTGCTGTTGGGGACATAAACTTTAATACCTGAAAAAGGATCAATGGTAGACTTAACAATTTTCATAATTAAATTTTAGTTTAACATTCTCTAGGAACTAACTGGCTTTTTATTTTAAGCACCTCACTGTATAGCTGAGTAAGTGCAACAAGTTTTTACAGTTTAATTAAAGTGGCTGTAAGTTGCTAAAGCCTCTAAAGGAAAACCTACCACAGCCTAGAAATAACTTGATGTCAAGGCCTACAGAAGTAGCAGAGTTGGTTCTTTTACTACTTTTGGCCCAGAATAAGGCTGCTTTAACCTGCCTTGGGCTTCCATTGAAGCTTATGCAGTCTTCCCTCTGATGCTACATAGCTGTCTGTTGACACCTGTTTGCACCTTGGTACATAACTGAGGTAATGCAATTAAACTTTTTCTGTATTGTCATTCCATTTTTGATAGCATAAAGAACGGAGGGGGGGAGGTTATGACCATGTTTGAAACCCTTAGAGCGCAGATTAATGGATTAATTAGCAAAATTATGGCTAGTTCCTTAATAATCTTGGTAAATACACATGAATTAATGTGCACCAAAAATAAACAAACAAATCTGTCATAAAATATTTGACACACATTAATAGAAATGCTCCTATTGTTTAGAATGAATGTATAGAATTTAAAATACTCAAAGACAAATCTTTAATGACCAAATGACTGCCGTTAAGTAATCCTATCCTCTTGGTCACTTAACACTTCAACAGTTAATTTACCTGTGGTTAGGTTCATAGCCTACTACAATGTAGAGTAACTCATTATACAAAAATAGAATGGAGGGTGAACAAAATGTTCTACATCTTGATTCTTACTGGTGATAAATCTACTAGGCAACAGGCACTGCCAGCATACAAATGCCATGGTAGCTCATTACACTGTTTAGAGACAGTTGTTTGAAAACTGCCATCTGCTGAAGAGAAATCAGTTATTTCAGAATAAAATCATTATTTTTGTTGAATTGAATTTGAGGACCAAATCTTGCACACCTCTTCTCATACAGAATTCATCTAGCCTTTGGTAAGGGTTTTGCTTCCATCTTTTGAGAGGAAACTGAACCAGTTAAGGAATAACCTGAACTGGATTTTCTGAATTAGATTGTTGGTGTTCTTAAATTGAATGATATAGTAAGGAAAAAAAGGTAAAAGAGCCTCTGAATATTTTAGGTAAGTGGGGGTTAAATGACTTAAATTTCCCCAAGAAATGGAACTTATATGTTTAAAAATGCAGTTCTCATTGCTTTTTCTAAACTTGACTATTGCTCTGGTGATGATAAAACCAATGAGATCCTAATCATTTTACTTTTACCTATGCAGATTTAAATATTAATAGTACTTCTACAAGCAATGTGCCAAGGCTGGATTTCACAACTGTTAAAATTCATGGTTCTTTCATATTGCTGGAGTGAAATACTGTGCTGGTCTTTAACATTCTGAAAGCTGTGCTGTCTGCTTTTGGTTTGAGGTGCAGTATTGTCATCAGTTTGTACCAAGGAAAAGGCAGTCAGATATAACCCCCTGTCCTGCAACAGGTTCCACATATATGTAGCCTTAGGACCAGCGTTTATTGTTTTTGTTGCAGATTTCGCCTTTGGTCATTAGGAATTGCAGTGAGTGCCAAAGGCTCAGTTGAAATTAGGGTTCTTCTAACTTTAGAGTTCTGCCAATGCATATGAAATCTTGTAGCTCACCTAAACTATCATAAAGGCAATTCCATTTTTGTTAAATTGGTTGAATGTGTACAACACTAAAAATGTGTTTTTATTTTTACATCTTTAAATGCCACCCCCTTAAATTTTTTTCCTCACACTTACGCTCTAGAACAGAGATTGGTTGTTCACAGGCCACCTAGACACAAATGAATGATGAGAATATTATGAAAATCAAATGTTATTGCTATTTGCTTCAGTTCTTTTCCTAGAGGAAGGGAGAATACGTACTCACTCTTTGGCATTTCTAGTTTGACTGAATTCTGACACAACTGCCATTCAGAATGCTGGGATCCATGTGGAAGAATTGAACTTGAGTTGGGTACTACAGTAATACTCAGAATGCTGAACTGAAGTTGGTTTTATACCTTGGTTTTACAGCTCCTCTGAAATGTGCTGTGAGGTAGCTTCCTTTTTCAATTCTTTCTCTTTAAATCCTATGTCATGAGCTAGGTAGGCAAGGACTTTGTCACAGGTCACTCGTGTAGCACAGCAAGCAGCGGAAGCACCTTTATGCATTCTGAAAACTCTTGAGCATGAAAGAGAGTTAGATGCTAACTTGTAATCTTTTCTGTGTTGGAGATAATTTCCCCTCTGAAAATGAAGGAGTTAGAAACAGGGGACGGGGAGGGGGAACACTATATGTAATTACAAGGAAGAATACATCACAAGTATTTTAAGTACAATAAAATAAGTTTCCTCTTTACTTGTTAATTTTTAATTGATGCAGAGTAGGCCTGAGATAATGGTCTGCTGTTAGCTAGTAGTGGAAATCAGTGAACTTTTCTGTAAGAGCTTAAAACCCTTTATAGTTTTGGAATCAATCAGCTCTTGGTAACCAAATTATATTTTAAACTGTAGGATTTGGCATATTAAATGTTTAGGTTAAAATTACATTATTTAAAAAGTTGTTTAATACAACTTTGTTTGAAGAATTAGAATGAAATGACAAAACAGGGTCAGCTCTGTCATATGACCAGTCTGAGCTGGAAAAATCAATAAGATAACATTGTTTTGATGTACGCACTCACTCAGTGTGTAAGAGATGGAATATTTCTTTAAAATAGCTTTCAAATATTTACATTGATCAAACAAAGGTATATTAAATTGTTGAAGTCTTTCTATAGCTTAAATGGAAGTGGGTTAAAGAAGGAGAAACAATCTGATTTCTTATGTTTCATTTGTGAGGTGTACCCCTTCTCTCTAAAGTAGTAAATGCAGAACAAAAGCATGCACTCCTTTCCCTTGCAAGCATATGTAATTTTTTACATGAATAGTACTTTAAAAGATGACCTATGAAGGACTTGCTTAAAAGCTAGGGTTCTGCCTTTTTCTATTTTAAGAAAGTCTGAAAGGGTGAAACCGATTCAAAGTTGTATAACTGCTTAGGGATTTTCGTTATTTTTTTTCAGGAGGAGAGAGAAAGGGGTCATGTTTTATTTTGTTTACTTGAGAGTAAACTCAGTAATGTCACCTGCTCTTCCCTGTTTTGGAAAACTTTCTGCATGTTTCAGCTTTTGTTTGGGTTTTTTTTTAAATTAGTCATTAAAATTAACTAACTGAAGTGGTGTTTCGATATGGACTGAAGTTACTCATTACTCCTTTCATTCTGTTGATACTTGTGATCTCCTGCCATTACTTCTCTAGCCTTCAGCCAGAGCTGAAAGAATAGGCTGGAATTTGCAGTCTTAAAGCAAAGAAAGAGGAGAAAAAATGGTAAAAACCAATGCTTGGAAGCAAAAGAAAAAGGCCCTCACATGCCAGAAAGAAGCAAAGAGGAGGACAAAACTAAATTTTTCAGACTGTGTATTGCTCATTTTAAATTAAAATCAATGACTTTGTAAGCTCCAAATAAGAATCATGAGCAACAGTAAAACTGTTTGAAATGTGAAAGCTATAACTCAACTGTCAGTCTGACCAAGCTACTATTTATCTAGGTTATACTACCCCAACTGCCCCTCCAGCTTATAGTCAGCCTGTCCAGGGATATGGCACAGCTGCCTATGATACTACAACAGCTACAGTTACCACCACCCAGGCTTCTTATGCAGCACAGTCCCCGTATGGCACCCAGCCTGCCTACCCAACCTATGGGCAGCAACCAGCAACATCTGCACCTGCAAGGTAATGTTGGCTGTCTTCTTAAATAAGATTAATTTTCTTACCTATTGTTAAGAGCCCTTTTTCGATCGATTAAAGAGCAACACCAGATATGTTTGGGTCCGCTGCTCTTTGTTTCCATCTTTGATTTTGAGTATTGTTGTGTTTTTTATCCTATTTTGTTAGGGCCTAGGGTTTTTCTCTCCAGTGTGATGAATCAGTGATGTTGCCAGTTGTGGCAGGAACTACTATTGATGAACAAAACAACAGTTCAGTTGGCCAGAAATATAGTACAGAAAATTAACTTTTGTCTAGTCACTGAGTTTAGGGGGTTACTTAAAATAGTGTTACCTAACATGCCCTTGTGCCTGCATTTTGGAACAGGTGTACATGGATGACTTCAGATGTAGTTCGTATACACCATGTCTGGCCTATGCTTATACCAAGCCTTTTACTTAATTGATTATTCAGTATATAAGAGAGGTTTATTGGAAGGAGGGAAGGTGGGACTGGCATTTAAAAATGGGGTTTAGGGCAGTAATTACAAATAGTTTAGTCATTTATAGAAATTAAACTATTTTGTTTAGTAAGTACTTCAGCAGGTTTTGATGTGAAAGCCAAAAGTTTTGTCTACCCAAGGCGACCTTTAGGTCAAATTTATTAAGTAGAGTTTAGAGTTCTCAAATAATATTAGTGTTCTAAAGTATGTTTGAGGGATTATCTGCATCCTTATTGCAAGATGAACTGTGGCAGAGATTTGCTTTTGATACAAAATTACTCATTATTGCTCAACTTTTCTTTTAGACCCCAGGATGGCAGCAAGCCAGTGGAGACTAGCCAGCCTCAGTCAAGTACAGCAGGCTACAGCCAGCCCAGCCTAGGATACGGACAGAGTAACTACAGTTATCCTCAGGTGCCTGGCAGTTACCCTATGCAGCCAGTCACTGCACCTCCATCCTATCCTCCTACAAGGTAAGTTCTCCAGAAAACTAAATTTATTAATGCTGGGTTTGGAGCATAAAACATGGGCAAATCCTTGTGCTGCTGTTTTTTTGTCAGTTTGTTTTTTTTTAAGGAACTTCCCTAGTTTGCAGAAATGTAAAATGCATTGTGCTTTAATTGCTTGCTATTTAAAACTCTTCTTGATACACTTGCAAGAGATTGTCCCCTTTGGCCAGTTTTTTACTTTCTGGGTCAAAGAGGGAGGATAAACAATTGTGATGGAGTTAAGTCCCTGTTGAAGGAGGCATATCTTTAAAGGTAGGCATGGCATGATATTTAAAGGTGAACATTTCTTTAATGTGAAAGGTACCCATTAACCTGTAACATGTTGTTGTTGCCTAATATTTTGAGTCTTGAAGAAGGAATAGTTCAGGTTCTGATCCCTTCACTCCTTTGCAGTGTTAGCTCTTTGATTTTTTTTTTTTAATTATCAGTTGAAGTGTTGATCCGCAAATGTAAAACGACCATTGGTTTGTTTGTTTTTTTAAATTACTTGGTGAGTTAGAAAAAACTGAAACCCTGATAGCAAGTTTGGTTTATTTTGTTGGAAACATCCATGAAATAACAAGTAATTATTCTTCTTGTGTTTAAAAGTTGGTGAAATTAAACTACATATTGAAATTTAATCCAGCATACATCTATAATCTTCTGTGGTGCTAAAATCCTGTACTGGCAATGTCTGTTTTCAGACATTTACCTGAATCTATTTGTTTATATATTTTGCTAGGAAAACACCCTTCATCTTTACCCACTCCCACCCCCAGTGATTTTATATTTACCTCTTTCTAGTGCCGTTAAGAACGAGGGACCATGCTAAAGAAAACTTCAGCAACCCAGCTTGGATGCTTATTTCTTTTGTAGTACTTGTAGATCAGCACCTGTAAACTGACTGCTTTTTAAAGAACTTGTAATAATGCAGGCTACTTAAGACTTGCATTGTTGTCTAGTTAGGCACTTCTGCAGCCCATTCTGTAGGGGATTTGATTTAGATGTTTTCTAAAATCACTTGTATCTTTCAGCTATTCATCTACACAGCCAAGTAGCTATGATCAGAGCACTTACTCACAGCAGAGTTCCTATGGGCAGCCAAGTACCTATGGTCAACAGACAAGCTACGGTCAGCAAAGCAGTTATGGGCAGCAACCACCCACTAGTTATCCACCTCCAACTGGATCCTACAGCCAGGCCCCAAGCCAATATAGCCAACAGAGTAGCAGCTATGGCCAACAGAGTGAGTTTGCTTAACATCTTTTGTTACTATAAGACTTGTATCTTGCTTTATACTTGCATAGTACAAATGAAACATACTGGTAAATTCCTGAAAGAGGCTTTGTATGTGTTCGGTGTTAGAACCCAGATGTGATCTATATTAAATAAGACCCTTGCAAGCATATTGATGGTAATACATATAATCTGTTGTGTTTGTTTGGCTTTCCCAATTTTGCTGCAGTTGTGATGCCCTGTCTCTGACACTTCTGGAGCATGGAAGTGAGCAACTCGTTAATGTGTGTAGAAACACAGATTTATATGAATGGTTAAAATGAGCAAGGCTACTTTGTGACCAGTAGTTCTATCAGCAGACAATTCTGTAGATGCTTGACTGCCTGGGAGTAGCTTCAAGCTTGATTCTGTAAATGTAGTGCAGTGCACCTTTCTTGAAATGAATCATTGCATTAAGGTCCACATATAACAGTTGTTCCTCATTATTGCTAGGATTCTTGGTACTGAAGGCATGCGTGTATAGGGAATGGGTAGTTCAGAATAAGATTGCTGCCATATAAATATCTTTAATACTAATTTTTCACAGGTTCATTCCGTCAGGACCATCCCAGCAGCATGAATGTATATGGACAAGAATCTGGAGGTTACTCAGGCCCAGGAGAAAATCGGAACATGAGCGGCCCTGATAACCGGGGCCGGGGACGAGGGGGATTTGATCGTGGAGGCATGAACAGAGGTGGGCGGGGAGGAGGACGCGGTGGAATGGGGTAAGAGCAAATCTTTTCTCTCTTTACCTAATTCTGTTTTACCCATAGGATTGGAAGTGGAAAGAGGGGACTGAAAGATTGAAATGTACAACCACATTTCCATGGAGAACACTTATCAATAGCAGGCTTGCTTCTAGTCCATGGAGATGTCATCCTAGGGGAAGTAGGGGCAGGAGCTATTTTTTTTTCCTGCAGCTGGTTGGGTTTTGGGGAATTAAGGGTATAGCTAAATACTGAACTTTCAGTTCCCTTCGTGGTTATCAAGAGGTGAAATCCTCTGGGGTTTAACAATAACTGGATAAAACACACACAAACCTTCCAAGAGATCCAAGATTCACTTTCTTTGCCTCACTACTGGGATCTTGATGTTTCAGGTATGTACATAATGGAAGCCTAATGTCAGCTATTATAATGTCTGTCTGTTTGTACTAGAAGTAGCACTTGGAGCTACTATCATAACTGAATGTGTGGGTCAGATTATTGCCGTTGCAGCCATGACTCTAGAATGGCCAGAGTAAGTAGAGCTTGGTTGTGGAGAGTGAAGGAAAAGCCAAGAACACAAAGATCTGACTTGACTTCCCCAATGGAGCTCTCGGGTGGTCTAAAATCAGTTTGGTCATTTTAACTAATGGCATAATCTTGTTTAGTAAGCCTATTTATTCAGGTCCGTACTTTATATCTCCTTGTCTCTGGTGTCTGTTTTAATAAAGGTGAGGATGATGAACTAATATCAAAAGCTGATATAAGGAAGGTGTAGCTTTGTGTGTGTTCTGTCCCTCTGTAACATAGTTTAAAGCTATGCAGACTGTCATCACTACCAATTGGATATGGGGAAGTGGGAAGTATAAAACATCAGGGCGATCTTGGTAAAACATTAGTTTTATTTATCTGGCTGGGGCAGCCCTACAGCCGTTCATGAATGTGCTTTTTTATAACTGTTGGATTAATTGAAGAAGTTACTGACATTCTGCATAGCTTACCTAAAATGTATCCAGACAGCTTGAAATCTTTATTGGAGAAATGCGGCCACTTGATTTTTTTTTTTTGTTTTTTTTTGTTTTTTTGTAATGTAATTGTAAGGATTTATATTAATATTGCAACACATCTGACTTCATAATTGGCTTGGATGGAAGAGTTCCATTGTTCTATATAAAGATTTCAGCCATAATGTATTTCTCTAATGTGTTTAAAGTAGATGTAGACACTTGAAATTACTATCATCACATTTTAAAACTTCTAGCCATCTCAGTACTTTACATTTGCAAAAGATTCACAAATTTTTTCTCTCTAATTTTACCCCTGTAATCAGAGATTAAATGGCTTTTTGTAGTGATTTCCAGCGGAGTAGAATTTTTGAGGGGCCTCTGCTTTATGAATGTAGATTTTTCTACTGTCCGTAGAAACGGTGGCCTTTCCATGAAGCAGTAGGTTCAGCACCAAGGGGGCAGGGTAGGGGAACTCGGCCCTTTTTATCATGCTGTGGTGATGGATTTCAGTGTCTCCTGCAGGTAAGGAGCTCAATGTTATTAACATGCCCTTTTTCATTGACTCAATTATTTTATATTTTCATTGGCTGTTAAACATGGAAACTTTTTAACATGCTTTGTCGCATTTATATGCTACAGGTTACAAAGTGAGAGCCTTGTATACACTTCAATACTTAAAAAGTACCCGTACTCAGTACTCAGCCGGCAGCATAATGAAAAGTGGGACTAGACACGGTGTCCATATGGAGAGGAAAAATATACATAGAATATTTTTAATCAAATGTATTCATTGTATAAATGGAATCCTTCTGTAACTTTGGTAACTGCATACTTGTTGTTTGGTAATAAAAGCAGAGGAGGTATACTACTTTAGAATTGTGTAACATTAAAAAGTGTAAAACGTGTGTTTAAAGAGAGAGACATTACATATATGGTGTGTACTTTTAAGAAAAAAAGAGGAAGCAAAGCTGCATGCATCAGCTTGGAACTGTGTATTTAAAACTTTTTAGGTATTAAAGGTGCAATATTTGCTAGAAAATAGATGGTGCGCTCCCTCCTCAATTCCCTCCTACCAAACAAACCCATTCTCTCAAAAAACAAAATCCATTTCAGGTGGCATTTTCCTAGCTAACCAGCAGTTGTTAACTAAGAGCCTAAAGCTTTTGCATTAAAAGCTACAGGCTGTGATTCTGCATTGGCCTGTGTTAAGATCTTAAATCCTGTTTTGGTTTGGTTTTTTTTGTGTCCACAAAGCTGCACCCCCAGGCCTATGAGCCCTGATATATTTGTAAGTTCTTTTTCCACAGAGACTGTTAAATTCAGTAGTGACCTGAATGTGTATACCTTTATACTAAGGTTTTAATGGAAATGTCATCTGAACTGTGTTCTTCTAGGTATTGCATATGGTTGTTTCCTGCCTTTATCTGTTAATGTTAGGGATTTGGGGCTCAGTTTGCTGTCTTGCTGCCAGAGGCTGAGGGTGCACCTTTATGTACACAGAAAGGGGAGGGAGTTGACCAGTAGATGATGTTAATTATTTTTCTTTAAAAAAAAATAAAATAAAATCTAGGCATAATTTAAAAGTTCTAAATGTTTTCTTTTTCCCAAGTATTGCACTGATTAATACCAATACAAGTAATGAAAGGGTTCCACAGCAAAAGTGGTGTCTAAAGCCAGACAAACAAGGTTGTGTATGTAAAGGAAATTTGAGCAAGCTGCCCTGAAGAAAGGCATAGTGACGAGATGAGAGAGAGAGAGAGAGACAGATGCATTGTTTGGAGATGTTTAGCCAGTGCCATTCTTCCCAGTGAGCCCCAGAGGCTCAGAGCGGTACTGGCTTTTTAAAGGGAAAGGCCTTCATTTCTTCGTTTATCCCCCCAGCAGCGCTGGAGAGCGAGGTGGCTTCAATAAGCCTGGTGGTAAGTTTTTGAGCATTACAATGGATAGTGTTTAAAAAAAAAAAAAAAAAAAAAAA